CAGAACCAGGAGTAACCCCTGACCATCGCCATGTGTGGCCCAAAATTTTAAAAAAAAAATTTTTTTTTTAAAACCTGAGGCACAGTCATGGGAAACTATCATTAACAACACTATTGTAAATAACGGAATCTCAAAAAAAAAAAAAGTCAAAACATTAGGAAAAATAAACTGAAATACAAAGTGTCATAAATGGGCAAAGCGTTCTGGATGGAGAAGGTTCAGGGCTATTGAAATACTGGGTAAGCGGCCGGAGTGATATTACAGTGGTAGGGCGTGTGCTTTGCACATGCCTGACATGAATTCGACCCTAAGCATCCCATATGGATCCGGAGCACTGCCAGGAGTGATCACTGCATGCTGGGCCAGGAGTAAGCCCTGGGCACAACTGGGTGTGGCCCCCAAACAAAAACTAAAAAAGAAAGGTTGAGTGAAATTGTAAACTGGTTTAGCTTCCTGGAGAGGCGGGGGATGGGGAGCCAAGTGGTGGAAGCTTCTGTGTGCCAGGCTCTTTCTTTACACATGTGCTCTCGCTTCTCCACGCTGCAGTGGGGTAGGTGGTGTTATTCCCATTTTACAGGTTGTGAAACTGAGGCTGAGAAAAGCTGGGTCATGCTTTCATGGTCAGCCGTAGAGGAGGAGGAATCTGATGTGACATTAACTGAGCAAGTGGCTGTGCTCTGCAGGCTCCGACAGGTTGATCCAGGGTCCAGCCGATAGAGGCAGATGCCGAGGACCATCTGGGGTCAGCGCCTTTTAGTGCCTCAGGTGTCTCTATCCTGTTCCTGGCCCTCTGACTTTTTCCGTCGGGTGACTGCTGAGCCTTTGCAGTAGCAGCATTCCTTGCTTTTTATGGTAAGGAAGCATTTTGACCATTTTAGAAGATTAAGATCTTTCCTAGGCTGTTGGCTTGTTTGAAACAGGAGAAATAAAAAGAACTGCTTGCTCCCCCTCTACTCATGCATTGTAGGAGGAGGTAGAACATCCCATGGGATGTGCAATCCTTGGACCAGATAGTACAGGGGGGTTAGGTGCTTGCCTTGCATGCCCAAGTTTGTTCCCTAGCCCCAAGTGGTTCTTGTCCCCTCCACCCCCACCCTAAGCACCACAAGGGGTCACTCCTGAGCACAGAGCCAGGAACAGCCCCTGAACACCATGGGTTGTATAGTTCCCCCCCCCCCCCCCCATTGCCGCTCCCAGTTGACTGCCTTGAGCAATACAAATTAAGGAACTCTGGGCACCGAGTGATAGTGCTGAGTGTTGAGGGGTGAAGGTGCAGCTATCCCAGTCCTCAACTCTGCACCACTGGATCTTTGTCTTGAAAACTCCGCTGGATTGGCTAAGAATTGCTGGGAGAGTGCCTTCCCCCCCCATAGGCTTCCTGAGCACTGCTTGGGAGTCCCCCAAGTCAGGGACCCCTATGGGTGTTGTAACTGGGTTAGAACAACGCCTCTGCCCCCTTCTGCTCTGTGGACACACACCCACACACCCCCACTCACCCCCCCCACCCCACCTCCCACACACTCATTTCTTTCTGCTTTCCATCACTTGTAGTGATTCTTAGGGTCGTGAGTTATGTGATTTATCATGGAACAAGGATTGTTTCTGTTCCAAATTTGGGTGGCTTTGTCATTTTTCTGGATTTCACAGGCAGTGTTCAGGGTTCCACGAGCCAATCCCTGAGCTACTTGACCTGACCAGACTGTGTGGACCAGATGGTTCCATGCTGGGCCCCTGCAGTATTAGGAGTGGTAGGGATTCTGTCTGTGTGCTGGGAGATGAACCCGGGCCTCGTGCCAGGCACATGTGTCAGCCCTTTGAGCTTTCTCCCAGGATTGGAGATCTTCAAGAGCAGACTTCCCCCTTCCTCACTCCTCCAGCAGCCTTTTCCTGCTGTTGGTTCATGCTCTGATTCTCCCTAGTCTTTCACCTCACTTTCTTGTGCTACTGGTGGGTTGGGGCGGGTGGGGCCACAGAAGGTTGGCTGATTGCCCTTTGCTGCCCTCAGGGCCAGCAACAGAATGGCATGGACAGAGTGGCAGGAAAAGTGGCCGGCTTGTGTTGGGCTTCGGCACGGGGCTGGCGCTGACATTCCATCCCTTCCCTCCATGTGCCCTTGAGAACTTCCATGGTCTCAGATGTTTATCCCAGGGGGCCCAGGGACCCCACTGGCAATTCTTGGCCTACCATGCCGATGGCTTAGTGCCAGGGCCTGAGGATATATTGTTCCCTGTGCCCCACGGTGTCAGTGGTACCTGAGTCAGTGGTGCTGGGGGTGGGGTGGAGAGACCTCCAGGGCTGCACCAGCGATGCTTGTGGGGCCATGTTGTGATAAGAATTGAACCCATCAGTTGCTTGCTAGCACATGCCCTAACCTCTGTACTTTTAGCTGGCCCGTATGCAACTCCTTCTTAAGATAGTTTTGGAAGCATCCCAGTGCATGAGAATGCTAAAGGGGGCTCAGTTGTTATTCATCCCATCAGCTCAGCAGCAGCCCCGCTCCCAGAGGTACCGAACTAGAAACCCCCCAGACCCTCCTCCGAGTTCTGAAAGTCTCTTAGTTCTGATTGGGGGCCGGGGCTGGCTAGCTCAGCACTTCCCAGGATTGCTTCCTTGAGAAACTTCGGGTGATCCTGTGTGAGTCCGAGCATCTTCAGCCTGCCAGCCTCCCCTGCCTCCTTGCCCCTGCGTTGGGAGGAGGGCTGTCACTGCTTCGGAGGTGCTGACTCTGCCTTCTTGTCAGAGAGACTGGTTTTCTCCTCAGGGTGAGGAAAGGACTCTGGGTTGGAGGAATATTGTTTCTTGCTCTCCTTGTGTCTGCAAGAAAGATACGAGTCCTCAGACACGAGTCCTGCACCCTTGGTCCTTTTGGCAGAATTGTCATTTTCTGTCTCCTGAGTTCTGTTCTTCAAGCAGAGCGAGGAGGCAGAACAGGGACCTGGGGAGTCCAGGAATCCTTGGTGAATTCCCTCAAATTAATGAGACTAATAAGGGAAACCAGGTTCAGTTTGTGTAAATTAGCTCCACGTTTTTCTGGGTCTTGATGACTTAAATTGCGGATACTAATTAAATGCCCCCAAAAAACTATTAAGTTGCTTTAAGGTCTCTTTGACCTAAAAGCATCTCTGATCTTCAAACCCCATAAAGTGTAAAATTAGCCTGGAGATATTCCCTTTTCAATATTAACCATCCCCAGAATTTCACCACGCCTGTCATTCGGTTGCCTCCCTAAGGGATGGAGTATTGTGTGACTGTCTCCTGTGGGCTGGTGAGATGTTGGGGTGCAGATGTGACCCTCTGTGAGGTGTCCTAATATATTGAGTAGGACATCCCCCTGCCTACTACTGTCAGGGCAAGGGAGTATTGAGACACACCAGGGAAAGGCTGAGAAGACCTGCGTCCTGCATCTCATTCTTGCCCGTGGCCCTGCCTTTGACCCAGTGTTAGCTGCCAGGATGACTTAGAGCTGGGCGAGGAAACATCCCCAGTGTAGTGTCTTTTGTTTTGTTTTGTTTTGGTTTGATTTGGGGGGCACACCTGACAGTGCTCAGGGGTTACTCCTGGTGGTGCTCCGGGGCCATATGGGAAAGCCAAGCGCCCTACCTGCTGTAGCCCCAGTGTGGCCATCTTTGATGCAGTCTCCAGTTGACTCTTTCCCTCTGTGCGCTATCTTTATTTTTTTCATTCTTTTGTTTTTGTCATTTTTGCCACATCCTGTATTGTTCAGGGATGGCTTACTCCTTGCTCTGTGCTCAGAGATCACTCCTCCTGGGGCTCAGGGGACCATATGGACTGCTAGAAGAGAACCTTGGCCAGCCACGTGCAGGGCAAGTGCCTTTACCCACTGTACTATCTCTTCAACCCTGCCCCTTATATATTTAGGTAGATGTAGCCGTGTACAGATGGAATGTTTAATTAAGAAAACAATGCGGAATTGGCAGGGACATTTCACATCTTCCTTTGTTTTTATTATAGTCATTGAAAATAAGAAAAAAACTTTTACTGAGAAATAAAGATCATGTTGTGTTCAGCTTTCCACACGTGGTGTGTCTGTTTCTAGCTCTCCTGGTGGGTGTGTAGAGGTCTCTCGGGATGGTAATTTGCATTTTCCTGATGGAGAAGGAAATTGAAGAATTTTTCCTGTGTCTGTTGGCTTCATTATGATCATATTAACAGCCGTCATAATGCATCTTCTTATTTTTCTATAATGCACATAGGTTCAGGTGCTTGTCTTTGTCACTCTGGGGAGCTGTACCTCCTGAAGGTTTCTGGGTGCCCCAAGCAGGAAGGGTCCAGCACGAGGAAACTTTGGAAGGGCGGAGAGTGCTGCCCTTGCCCTTGTCTATTCTGCAGGCCCCAGCAGGGTGGTCTTCAATGGCTCCTTGGATCCTCCTGAGGTCTGCCCTCCAGGAAGGCACCGGAAAAGACTTGGGGCTAGGGACTCTTTGCGGAGCCTTTCCCCCTCCTGAACATTTGGTTTCCACTTCAGCCACACTGGACAGCCGCAGTAATGTTGCTGTCAACCAGAAAAGCAGAGCCCCTCAGGGGCTCAGCACCTACTCTCAGAGCATTCTGAGACTCAGGCTCATCAGGTTCTCATCTCTCCATTTTTCTAACCATGTCTCAGCTACCCACTCAGCTTTTCAGAGCTGCTCTAAATTCCTCTGAAATATGGGAAAGGGAAATTCCATGTTCACTTTCTGTATTTCATTCTTTTGGATTTAAGCAGAACTTCAATTTTGTTTGGGGGAGATCACACCTACCAGTGCACAGATGACCATGCAGTGCCAGGAATCAAACCCCGGCCTTCCTCATGTGAAGTCATTGACTGAGCAGAGTTTTTGTTTCCCAGCCAAAAGGTTGATTGGTATATGGAAATCAAAGGAACGTGTGGTAGCCCTTTGCTCTCCCGTATTCCTAGGAACTGTAATTACAATGTATGCAATGTGCATTCTTGGGAACTTCATATCTGACCTGCTTAATTATCATTTTCCTATTTTCAGATGGTGGATTTAACTGTACTTCTATGAAGACATGCCGTATGTCCTTCCTGATTCCAGAACCAACATGTCCAGTAAGTTGCAGAGGGAGTTCACTCTGGAGTGGGAACATGGGCCCTTCAGACACAGGGCTGTGACAGACATGGGAGAGATAGCGCACCTGACTAGATGTAGCCTGTTGCCTGGTCTGATGATCTTAACTTCTCGAGTGTGGTTCAGAGACCCATGTCTGGAGATGACAGACATGGCAGTGCATAGGACTGGGGAGAAGAGAAAGTGGGCACTGTGCTGGAGTGCCTGAGTGCTTCAGCCCCTGGGAGCACTTGGCACTGTCTTTGGTTTCTTCAGCATGGCACTGTCCACTTTAGGTAAGTGTATATTATCAGTCAAAATCTTTGCAGGAGAGAAGGCCCAAGACCAAGACAATTGAAGTTTCTGTTCACTGGCAAGAAAGAGCAGATTGGAGATGAAAATATTTCTCTAGTCTATGTTCTGGCATGCTTTTGTTGTTAATGCATAGCATCCCCTGCCTTTCCCTCAGAGATTGACCTTTTGTTTTTGTTTGGTTTTAGGCCATACCTGGTGATGCTCAGGGATTACTCCTGGCTCTGCACTCAGGAATTACTCCTGGCAGTGCTCAGGGGACCCTATGGAATGCCAGGGATTGAACCAGGGTTAACTATGCAAGGCATCTGCCTTACCTGCTGTACCATTGATTGCTTCAGTCCCTCCACACAGATTATAAGGAATTGATTTACAATTTAAAGATTATATTTATTTGCTTGTGGGAAAGCATATAGTACAGCAAGCAGTTTCTCAGGTATCGTTTTATGATTATATTTCAACTTTAATTTAACGTGGTATGTCTTCATTTAAACAAAGATAATTGTGTGTCCAGAAAGATAATATAGTGGGAGTAAGGTGCTTACCTTGCATGTAGCTGACCCAGATTTGATCACGCATACTTCCTATGGTCTCCCAAGCCTTGCCAGGAGTGAGCCCTGAGCCCTGAGTAAGGAATAAGCCCTTAGTACAGCTGTGTCCAAAATACAAGAAATATATGTATACATACATAGAAAGAGAGAAATAGAGAGATAGAGATAGAGAGATTGAAACAGTGAAAGGAGCACAGCAGAAGAGGTGGTTAAAAACTGTGATTTCCATCTGCCTGAGAACCCCATCTTCACAGTACAGCTGTCTTACATCATGTACTGTCTTCATGAGAGCACATTATCCTCACAGTACTTACCATTTTTTTTTAACAATTTCTCAGGACTTTTGCCACCTTAGCAGAGTAGGGCTTGGTGACAACACTTTCCGGGAATCAGGCGTGGTCTGACCCAGGAACAGGAAGAACATTATCACCAATGACATCATGACAGCAAGAGAGCCCAGCCCTCGCCATGGCGCCAAGGCCCGTGCCATGCAGCGGGCTTCTACCATTGATGTGGCCGCTGACATGCTTGGCCTCTCTCTGGCAGGTGAGTTTCACAGAGACCCCTCTGGTAGCAGTATTGGAGAGTGGAACCTGCCTCTGGGGCATTTGGTAAAACAATCAGGGTGAGCCATGTGGGGCCGCCCTCAGTTAAGGGGCAGCCCAGTTTACTGTCTGAGGCATGGGAAGTCAGGAAAATCAGGACACCTCACCACTGACAGGGTTCCAGTTTGTGTGCTTTCCTCCAGAGCTCATTTGCCAGTCAAGAATGTGTGAATGCCTGCAACACCACGTAATAAGTACCACTTAGTACCTGGTCATGCTACACTCTCCCTGAGCATGGGTATGCTGACCTCAGTAAAGGAAAGTTCAGTCTTGGGCATGCAAGAGTTTATATGATTCTAAAACAAACAAAACGTTGAGAAAAGGAAGAAACTGCTCTTGTAACAGTTTTGGAGGGAAAAACTATTTTTTTTTAATAGTAAAAGCAAGGGCATTTATTGAGGGTGTTTTAAAAAATTGTTTTAATGTCCCTTCTTTTTTATTCAGGAAATATACAAGATCCAGATGAGCCCATCTTAGAATTCAGCTTAGGTAAGTGACCTAATTTTTGTACTTTTTGGCAGGGGTGTGGTGGGGTGTATACACATGTGATGGGGTGGGGGGGCCACACTTAAATATGCTGAGGAGTATTACTGGTTCTGTGCTCAGCTGTGACCCATGGCCCTGTGCTCTGGACCACGTGTTGTGTCAGTAATTCAAACCAAGCTACCTTAATCCCTAGACTATCTCTCTGGCCCTGTTTTTTGTGTTTGTAATCTATGTTGCTTAGAAACAAAACCAAAATCAAGTGGGATCCATATCAGGGATGCAAGGATGGTTCATCATAAGGAAATTAATTGTAATATGCCAACAGAAGTAAAGATAAAATCACAGTTATATTAACTGATGCAGCAAAAAGCTCTTGACAAAATCCAATGTCTATTCATGATAATAATAATAATAATAATAATAATAATAATAAAACCCTCAGTAAAAGGGATAGAAAAGACTTTAAATGTGCCCAGAGGTGATGCAGAGACAGGATGTAGGCCTGACTCCAAAAGTACAGGTGCAGGGAATGGAGAGCTACTGCAACGAGAGCCTGCCTGGCACATGTCCCACCCTGGTTTGATCCCCAGCATCATATTTACCACCTCAAACCTGCCTGGAGTGATTCCTGAGCACTGAATCAGGAGTAATTCCTGAGCACATCTGGGAGTGGTCCCAAAACAAAAGAAAAAATTTAAATGGGAATACTGAAAAAAATTCAATTGAAGAACAATAATTTAGAAAATTAAAATATTATAGGCAGTACTTAAGGTTTAATAAAAATGAAAAGGTATTAAAGGAATTATTCCAGAAAGTGGAAACTTTCAAAGTGAAAAATGGAAAGAATTTAAAAAAAAAAATTAGATGTAATTCAAGAGCTTCTTCGCATTTAAAAGAGAAAATAGTAAAGGATACAAGGGAGAAATTTACCACCAAGGGTCAGAGAGATGGTACAGAAGTTTAGGTCTTAGTCTTGCATGTGACTGCAGCCTCAGACTCATTCCATTCCCTGACACTATACATGGTCTCCCAAGCACTGCAAGCAAGGTGTGGCTTCTGAGCAGAGACTCAGGGCTCACCTCTGAGAATTGCTGCATGTGTCACCACCCCCCAGAAAATTACTATTTCCAAGTTACCAAGAAATAATACCAGAGTCCTCTCCAAACTGAAGACTGTGTTTCCAAGTTAAAAAATGCTTGCCATGGCACAGATTCATGATAAAAAAGACGCGCAACAGGCAGAGCATGATGAAGTTTCAGAACACTGGGAATAAAATCACGGTTCTAAAATTTTCCAGAGAGGAAGAGAAAAAGAAAGATCCTCCAAGGATTAGGAATACAGCTAACACAGTGATTCTCTGAAATCTTGGAAACACAACCTGTAATTTCTGTTCAACTGGGCTATCAGTTAGATGTGAGGGTAGAATGAAACAGGTTTCAGAAATTTTTTCAAATAAATTTAGTTCTGTCTCTCTCTGGAAGTGAGTGGAGAGTATGCTCCCTTTGGACGAGGGAATGAACTGGGACAAAGGAAGGCAGGGGACCAGCTATTAGGAACCAACAGGAGAGAAGGGAAGTTTCACTCAGCTCATTATAATGTTCACTAATACTCAACAATGCAAAATGTAGATTTGACAAAAATTGAACTACACTGATTAAAGGGGATAAAAGTTGGTATAATTGAATTAAGAGGATTTGGGACATTTCTGAATCTAACAAAGCAATATCAGTGATGTCATGAATTAGACATAAGAGGAATAAATAGCTTAAAAGATAAGGTTGAATTTTATGTATTTTTCAAGTTTTTAAATTTTTTTTTTCTTTTTTTGGGTAAGATTGAATTTAGTGTTAAGTGAATTCCACCCTAATTGGGGAAAAAAAAATGGAGCAGCTGCTGGATTACTGATTAGATATTTTATTTTTAAAGTAAAAATAAAAATATATTTAAAAATAAAACGTGCTCAAATTTTTAATACAGAAAAACATTAAAGAAAAAAATCCCCTATCAGAGAGAGATAATCACACTCAGCATTTTGATATCACAGATATTTTTTACTCCCACATAATGCTGTATAAAAACAAATGGGGGCCCAGTTTGGGCCCTATCTAGCAGTGGGCAGGGGCTATCCTGGCGGTGCTGATGGGACCATAGTAGGTGCCGAGATTGGCACCTTCATCCTTTACTGTCTTTCCAGCCCTGTGCAGAAAATTTTAGTGATACTTGATTCTGGAGATAATTAAATTATTTTTTAAAAATCCTATCCAAGTATTACTAACTTTTAAAAATGTAGCAGAATATCACTCACAACTTCTGATTTTAATAAACGTGGGGTGGGCTTTATCATGTTAGATGTCAGTATAGAATCTAAGACAAAAAAAGCTGAACCACATTTATTTCAGCCAGTCTCCCATTGTTGTATATTCAGGCTTTTTCTGGTGGGTCATCATAATTACCACTACAATGAAGATACTTGCTCATAGATCTTGTGTAAGTTTTGCTGATTATTTTACTAGTATACTACTCTTGTATATAAAATTGCTGAGTTGAATAAAATGACTCTTAAAATATGATATGCCATTTTTTTTCTTCAATAGCCTTATTCCACTGGGATTACAAATGATCTGGTCAGAAAGTGCATACAGATCAGAGATTAATGGTTTCTATGGAAATATGCCAGAGTAGTGATATAAATGGTAAACAGAAGGAAATATGACTGGGCTGCTGAGAGAGAGCTTCATAGAGACTGTGGAACTTGAATAGTGGGTGAGTTTTAGATAGGCCAGATGGGGGTTGAGGCCAGGAGAGAATATCACTTATATAGGACAGGATTTGTTTTTTGCTTTTTGGGTCACACCTGGTGTTATGGTCAGCGGTTACTCCTGACTCTGCACTCAGAAATTACTCCTGGAAGTGCTCAGAGTATGGGATGCCAGGGATCGAACCTGATTGGCTGCATTCAAGGCAGACACCCTACCCTCTATACTATTGCTCAGCCCTAAGGGCAGTTTAAAGTAAGAAAAAAAAATCCCAACATTTGGCTAATTCCTGCCTATGTATCAGTCTTTTGTTTGGTGTTTTGTTTGTTTGTTTGTTTTGGTTTTGAGACCACACTAGGCAGTGCTCAGAGTTTACTCTTGACCCTCAGGAATTACTCCTGAGAGTAATTCTTTCTGTCATCTTTTTGCCGTCACTAATGCTCAAATGAGTCCTATATTACAATTATGCGTGGGGATGAAGGTCCCATACACCTGAAGAGAGATAAAGACCAGGAGAGACCAGATCATAGACCAGTTAAGGCGTAGATGCAGGGATAGCAAGTGGAACAGGTAAATTGGGATTTCTGTTGTGATAAGGTAGAAGAAATAGAGGAACCCTAAAGAAATAGTAGATACTTAATGTATCTAGAAGAAAACAGATTTATCTAGAGGAAAACACACAACCCCAGGGTAGGTATAGACTTCCCAAAGGACCAAAAAACATAAAGTACTAACTCTAGGCTTATGTTTGCTATTGATGCCATAGCAAATCATTGTGAATTTAGCACATACACAATAGAGATTTATTGTCTTACACTTTTATTAGGTCAAAAATTTGAAGGACTCAGGTGATTTTTTTCTAATATCTTAAAATGCTCAAACCAAAGTGTCAGAACAGTTTCATTGGCACTAAGTAAGAATATGGTTCTTTGCTTGTTCATTTTATTGGCAGAATTCAGTTCTTTATGGTTTTATGATTGAGATTCACATTGTTTGCTAGCTGTCGCTTGAGGTCAGTGTTCAGTTTATAGAACCACTTAGTGACCTTGACTCTCTTCTGCTTTAACTTCAAAGTCAGCAGTGTCAGCTTGATGCCTTTTATGCATCAGTATCTTCTGCCTCTTCCTCCAATGTCATACCTTTCTTTTTTGCTTTTTTTTTTATAGAGGATAAATTTCTGTTGTTTTTTTTTTCTTTTAGTGAGATACCATGAGGTACAGTTGTAGACTTTCAAACTTTTGTGTTTGGGTTTCAGTTATACAATGATCAAGTACCCATCCCTCCACCAGTGCCCATTCTCCACCAATGAACCCAGTATCCCTCCCACCCCCCCCATCCTCCCCTACCCCACCCCACCTCTATGGCAGGGATTCCCTTTTGCTCTCTCTTTCCTTTAGGGTGTTGTGGTTTGCAATAGAGGTATTGAGTGGTCATCGTGTTTGGTCTATAGTCTACTTTCAGCATACATCTCACATACTGGGCGAATCCAAACATCCTTTACTTGGTGTTTCCTTCTCTATATGAGCTGCCTTTTCCCCAGCGTGTGTTGCCGGCTTCCAAGCCATTGAGCAGACCTCCTGGTACTTATCTCAACTATTCTTGGGTGTTCATCTCCTATTCTGTTACTTTATATTCCCCAGATGAGTGCAGTCTTTCTATATCTGTCCCTTTCTTTCTGACTAATTTCACTTAGCATGATACTTTCCATGTAGAACCATTTGTTTGCAAATTCCATGACTTCATCCTTTTTAACGGCTGCATACTATTCCATTGTGTGGATGTACCAAAGTTTCTTTAACCAATCATCTGTTCTTGGGCACTCGGGTTTTTTCCAGATTTTGGCTATTGTGAACAGTGCAGCAATGAACATACAAGTGCAGATGTCACTTCGAATATACTTTTTTGCCTCTCCGGATATATTCTCAGGAGTGGTATTGCTGGGTCAAATGGGAGCTCAATTTCTAATTTTTTGAGAATCGTCCATACTGTTTTTCTTCCCACCTTCTTCTTTCTTTAAAAGTTTGTATGATTGAATTAATTCCACCTGTGTATATAGGCATAATCTCACATGCCAAGATCCATGACTTTAATCCCATCTCTAGTATCCCTTTGTCTGTAATATGCCATATTTGTAGATTCCAGGAATTTGGACAGGGCCATAACAGGGTGAGGCAAGGACCTCTTTTTTTCTCTTTCTTTCTTTTTTATTTTCTTCCCTCTTTTTTTTTTAACTTTTTTATTTTTGAC